GTCGTCGTAGTAGTAGTAGTTAGTAGTACATATAGCAGAGTCAGTGACGAGAGGAATGAACATAATCATAATCGTCATCGTAAAATTTATACGGGTAGCATTCACTTTTGTGCGACCATGGGAAAGACTACGTGGTGACAAAGAGCATCGGCAAAAGCGCTCTTGCAACGGCCCCTTTCCTCTGTCTTCCAGACTGACTCTTAACGAGCGGTGTGGCCGGTGGTGGCCAACCGCAGCAGACACCGACAACACGCGAATGAAGAAACGTGTCCTGGCTTTGGGTGTGTGGTTCAGGAAAAACACATGGTCTCACGACACTCCGACCCTGAACACCCTCTCTTCTTGAGGTGCATGATTCAGGAATCTTTTCCAAAAGGGTCCCGATTTGGAAGCAAAAAGACAAGGGTTCCGTTCCAAGAGGTATCTGAAAGTCGACAAGGAGCGAAAAACCTTCCACCCTGCTCATGTGATCTCGGCTCCCTTATGACGCGGACCTCACAAGGACTGAGCCCTAGAAGCCCATCTTCAAAAATGCCAAAAGCCCTGCAATATCTTGTTGGCAAACACGGTCAAGAACACTAATCACTCTTGAATACTGAAGTCTAAAAACTCTAAAATACTGAAGTCCAAAAGCCTTTTCAAACCCTCATCCCCCGAATTCAACAGCCGGAATTCCCTGACAGGTGTCGTTGTCGGGGTGCTATAGGGGGCCTTCAATATCAGAGTAGGTTGATGGGGTTTCTTGTATACTTAGTTCATGTCAGGACTGCCAATGATTCCGAGGGCTACACCCAGCAGAGAGCCCAATACCCAATACTCCCCCTCAGGAATATAATCCATTTTAAGAACTTAAGTGATAATTTCCTTGATAAGGGATGTTGTCTGCCTGTCTGCATGTATATATGTGTGTGTGTATATATATACACACACACACACATGTATGTGTGTTTGTATGTATTGTCACATGTTCGTTTGTCTGTTGTCGAATTATTATTTTGTTGTGTTGTGTTGTACTGTAGCGTACTGCATTGCATTGTGTTGCATTGATCATACCTATTGTTAAAAAATGCATGTTTTAGTAAGCTCTTTGGTGAACTGCTCGTGAATTTGTTATTTACTTCGTTACACTAAACTGGTTACTTTGCAACTTGTGTTTTTTTCTCCATCTATGGGTTTATTGGTTTGCATGTCGAGTCTGGCACATGATGTTACGCTCCGAGTTCCGAAGCCCCTAAACCCTAAACCCTAAACCCTAAACCCTAAATCCTAAACCCTAAACCCTAAACCCTAAGCCCTTTGAGGCCTTGGGAGTGGGACTCGAGGGTGGTGCTCTGGCCGAACCTGGGTGGGGGCCTGTGCAGGGGTTATGGCGCGCCTTTTTAGGGTTTAGGGTTTAGGGTTTAGGGTTTAGGGTTCGCTTCAGAGTTTGGGCGTATAGGACCAGGAATGCTTACAGATCCAAAACAATCGCGCTTGCTAAGATTATGCTAGACTCTGCCAGACGTGGTTGTGGTTTGTTCGGGGTTCTCGGGCCTGATCCGCAGGTAGACGAGACTTCTCTGGATCTGCGCTGGATGGGTGGATTCGATTCCAATACCACACTACCACCACCGATATCATTTTGGTGTTGTGCTTGTCGCTGATGTTGTGAAGTTGCAGTGCTTGCCAGTGACATCTCGTCCAGTTGATACTTACTGATGTGGTGCAAGAAGAACATGATGACTATGACGTTGATGAGGCGACGAAGGAAGAGGAGGAGGAGGAGGAGGAGGAGGATGAGGATGGTGACACTGAGCTGTCTGAGGCACGAAAGCACGAATGATTTAGTGCCTCATGAGTGGGTCTATGAGGATTCATATGTAGGTGCGAACAGGTAGAATAGGGACTGCTCAGTCCGTCACAGTCAGGCTCTTGGATGCGGCCGTTGCCTGCATCGAAGAGGCCTGTCACAGGGCACAGGTGCTTTGCGTTCTAGGTTGCCGCTTGGGAATCAGGCCTTAACCCTAAGGGTCCAAAGGACCCAATAATAATGTACTTTGGTTGCGGATAGTAGTTTTCTAGCTTAATATTAGGGAGAGTATATGATTATTAGGTACTTGGACCCTTAGGGTAAGGCGCCGTATCTCAGCTCATACCAGTTCAAACCATCCATGGCATTAGTTCTGGCTGCAGAAGGCTGGCACAAGCCGTAACCCCTGCGCCTGGGGACCACAATATTATGTAGGGGCCGAATTACCTATATTATTTTGGGGGTTTCTTACTATAACTATAGTATACCCCAAAACCCTATTCTAAATATTAAGGCCCCTAGATTAGCCCTCAAGCCTGAGACCTTTTGACCCTGCAATCCCGCTCTCTGCCTCGGGTTTTGGGGCCCAGGATTTCTCGTTTTCTGGGGCTTCCGAAACCTTCCCAGAGACTCCAAAACCCCTTAATTAAGAAATATACCTTAAATCATATAAGGGATCCTATTATAATTTAAGGTATATTCCTTAATTAAGGGGTTTTGGAGTCTCTGGGTTGTTGCAGGCCCTGGGAAATCGATCCAGCACGCGGAGGCCGGAGGCGTCGTCTCCAAAAACCGTTGGGGTTTAGGACGGCTTGGGTCTCGGGTTTGTTTAGGGTTTAGGGTTTAAGGGGCGGTTCCGATGATACTGTGGATCAGCAAGTGAGTTTGAATACAATTTGTGATCTTTCTTCGGGTTCCGGTGAGGGTCCGTACCGTAAGAGTGAGGTTTTCTGTTTGGGTTGGAGTTGCGAAAGACTCGAGGGCCGCCAGGGGGTGACAAAGATGCCTGAGAGTTGAAATAACGTAACCCTATAAACCCTCAACCCCAGAATGTTCAAGAAACAGAAACAGGCCCTAAAGCAAACAAAAAACTAAAACAAACCCGAGCATATTCGCCGTCGAACTCAGCAAAATGTGTTCGGGCGCCCAAGCCCGTCGAAGCACCTCGGCCCGACACCGTCGATGCCGGTGTCAAATTCTAGAGAACATGGGCGTCGGATTCAGGACATTGGCGGAAGCCAGCGGCATCAAGCACAGCACCAGTCCAAACTGCCCAAACGCTCAGGACAAAAGCATGGACAAAGAGCTGGGGTTTAGGGTTTAGGGTTTAGTCCTGATTCGGCAGTGGTTTTTTGATTCGCTGACATACTCCTGTTTCAGCACATACGAGGAAGCTGGATGCATTCAAGGTCCGCTTGGGGCATATGAAATTACCCCTAAAGCCTCAACCCTAAACCCTAAAACCTCAACCCTTAACCCTAAACCCTGAACCCAAAACCCTCAAAGTTTAGGACTGGCAGGTCGGGGAGCCAAACCTCCAAAACGAAGTTTCTCCTTTTCTAAACCTCAGCCCGAAACCCTAAAGCCCTAAACCGCAGAGCCACAGAACCTGCAGCTCCCAAAACCCTAGGAGCAGTTGTATAGCCCTTAAAGGTTGGGGTTTAGGATTCAGGGTTCAGGAACGGATCCTAGCACAAATCATCCTAAATCCAAGTTCCGACTTTCTGGGGTTCGCTGTAGAAGAACTTTGAAGCAAAAGACCCTAAACCCTAAATCCTAAACCCTAAACCCTCAACCCTAAACCCTGACAGCCAGATCTTGGTCCTTGGCTGTGGCCTTTCCCCACTGCTCTTCGCCCTTGCCGACCGCCTCCAGGTGCTGCTTTCCGGGCTTGTAAGAGTACGATATTGGGGATTTCCAAAATAGGGATCCTAATATAGCATCCCAAATAATAGGATCCCTCTTATAAGGACCCCAAAATAAGGTACCCTAATTTTCTGAAACTCCCATATAAGGGCACTATGAGGATTACAAAGAGGGCGTCTCGAAGTGTGCTAGAATCATAGAAGGGTGCTGCATGTAAGGCTCATGTAATCTTAGAAGGGCACGGCAAGGGTCTCATAAGGGTTATTATGAGGGCAGGGTTTAGGGTTTAGGGTTTAGGGTTTAGGGTTTAGGGTTTAGGGTTTAGGGTTTAGGGTTTAGGGTTTAGGGAGGGCTTTTGCAAAGGAGCCCTATACAACCCCAAAAGCCTTAAACTAGCACCCGTTATAGAACCCTATAGGGGCTCTATAAGGGGTTCATGGGAAGTCAGGATTCCCCAGAGATGACCGAATACCCTGATTGCAGGAACATAACTTAAACCATATTCTTCAACCCCTAATAACTTAAGGGTATGACTGCATGACATAATTCTGATCTTCTAGTCATGAGGTAGGCCTGAACCCCAAATTTCTTACTTCTTTAAGGAACTGTAAAAGGAGATCATGTCAAGGAACCTGCAAACGTGGGTTGTCGAAATTGCTAAAATCGTGGGTAATTCAAGCCACAGATCAATGTGTACTCAGAAGTAAAGCCTGAGATCCCTCAACTCGGGAATATAACTTAAACCATAGTATCAACCGCCTTGTACCTTTCGTATACTGCTTGACTATGGGTTTCTGGGTAGAGCTTTGGTGTTGAGGTTTCATGATTGAAGACTTCAGATTTGGGTCCGTTTCGACGTCCCTAAACCCTGAACCCTGCGGGGTTTAGAGTCCAGGGGTGTAGGGTTTCGGGTTTACCAGGACCCCTTCCAGGGTACCTTCGATAGAGCCCGTATCGGGGGCATGGTGGGGCGAAGTTGGATGGAGATCTAAGTAGGTTTACGGCTTGGGGCTTTGATTTGTAATATTTCCCTAAGGGTCCATGTACTCATATAGGATATACATTGGCCCCAAAGTACCTATATAGGGACTACTTTAAGGCCAAAGTATCTCTATTTGGGTACATGGCCCCTTAGGGTTTGGGATTAAAGTAGGTCTGAATATACAAGTTTTCGGGCCCGGCTACTTGCTTCTGAAGGGGAGTTTGAGCACACGCAGGATTCTTGAAAATTGGTAGGGTCTTTACAGTAAGGATCGGGAGGCAATGCAGCCTTAATAATTAGAAGAGGGTTTCGAGGGCTCCTTATTATAATTATGGTATAATATACCCCCCTCCCCCCCCCCCGGGAACTGTGCTACTGTAATTATTAATGCCCCTTTATTGGTCAAAGCTACAACCATGGGCTTCTGTGTCTAGGTTCCTCAGTAGCACCCTTTTGCCCTTTTCGATTTGGGCTCTCCTGATCAAAACCGATTATTAGGAAAACCCTAAACCCTAAACCCCTAAACCCTACACCCCTAAACTCTAAACCCTAGGGCCCTTGGTGCAGGTGCAAAAGGGTGCCCTGATTACTACGGGGTTACTGGGGAGCCGAGGTCCCTAAACCCTAAACCCTAAACCCTAAACCCTAAACCCTAAACCCTAAACCCTAAACCCTAAACCCTAAACCCTAACCGAGGTATGTTTAGGGTTTATCAGCTAAAGATTCGAAGTTCCGGCCTGCCGGGCGCTGTGCATCCACGATTCAGACGAAAAGGAGATACCGGGAGACTTCAGGTTTAGAGTTTAGGGTTTAG